CCCCCCCCACCCCTTAATTCCTGTGTCATTCCATCAACACACAAACTTTAAAAGACTGTGTAGAGTGTTTCAAAGCCCAATTCCAGACCACTAAGCCACTAGAACTGCTTGGTATTACTAGCTCTTTGTCAACAAAATATATTAAAACCTAAAAATAGGTACCTTTTTTTTTCCTTTCTGTTTGGAGATGAAGCAGTGCTAGCACATTTCACATACAGGTGGAACTCTGAGATCTGGCTTCCTACATCCCCAGTCAGAAGGCAGCAGCATAGCCCAGAAGGAAAGGAAATACTCTGGCAAGGAATGTGTAAACCTGTATCTTTACACACAACTTGCAGGCCAGTTAACAGAGTGATAATTTTTCAGCCTTGAAATGTGATCCCTATTTCTCCCACAGTTGGAGGACTAGCACTGCAGTGGTAGAAGCAGGCAGATTTATCCAAGTGGGAGTCTGACCTCTCGACTGACCAGCAGAAAAATTCTTCACCTTAATGCTTTCGCGCGAAGCTAAAGAGTTGAAGTAATAGTTGCAATTGTTGCAATAATTATGTACTAGATTTTTGGTTCTCTTGTGAACTTTTCCTCGATGTTTTACATATGGCTGTCACTTTTCATTTGTATGGCAGTACCACGGGGCTGGTGCCATGTTCTGCCACACCGACGACGTTTGGGGACCTGCGGGCAGCCAACGGCCAGGGGCAGCAGCGGCGCCGCATTACATCCGTGCAGCCACCGTCGGGCCTCCAGGAATGGCTGAAAATGTTTCAGGTAACCATGCTTGCAGAAATAAGCATCTGAAGCAGCTCTGCCTCCATGGTTTATGGAAGGGAGTGCTTCAGTAGAGTTGGTCCTCTTTATACGTCCCAGAATGTCTCTGCCATTGATTTCGTGTTCTCCTGCAATAACAAATGGGCATCAACTTTAAGGAATATTTGTTCCCTATTTCAGCAAAAAATAACAGCTTTAACTGGTTTCTTAATAACATAATCCTTCCCATTTAATGCTTTCACATTTTCTGCAAAGTCTGTCCAACATGTAAGGGCTACCTGCACGGCCTGAAGCTATTTTCGCTTGAGACTAGCAAGCTTTGGTGCATAGTTTGCTTCAGTGCTGTTAGAGCACTAGATTCATCACAAGTCTGCTGTCTTCTAAGAATAGAAAGAAAAGTTTATCAAAAATAGATTAAAAGGAAACGCAGTGTGTATTTTTACTGATCTCTGTGTACTGAGCATGTCAGCCAGCACATGTGTACACAGCTGAAGGAAGGAAGGGAGAGAGGGTTTTTGGATCTTTTAAAATGCCTTCAGAAACACCTAAAAATTACTTATCTGGACAAAAGAGAAGATGTGAAGGACAATGCTATGGACCACTTGCACAGGTTGAAACTGAAATCTGCCTGGACACCAGTTAGGGAGCACCTGAGCCAATTTTGTGTATGTTAATACAAGCAAAGTTTGAGGCGGGCTTCTGCTACTGGTCCACGGCCTGCACCATGGAGATCTTAACATCTTGCTCTGTATTTTTAAGAAGCAGGGATGAGTCTTAGTCATTGATTTGAAAAATGGAAATATTATGTCTTTCTATCTTGATTAATAAACTGTTCCTTCTAAAAGCATTTTCAAAAGGAGCAACTAACAAATACAGGCATTGTTTCAATTACTGTAACAGGCAAAGATAAAAGAACAATATTGTAGATACAGGTATCTATCATACAATTTTGCAGGCAGAAGTGTGCTTTTGGCTTGATTCATGCTGCCACATAATACCATTGATCTCAATCACTGTCATTTCTGAACATTAAAATAATAATGTAGAACCTCTTTCCTCTTCATTTTTACACATTTATGATCTACTCAAACCAGTGGAAGCTTGAAATTAAGATTCTTGTACACATCATTCAATTTCTTAAAAATATTCACATTTAATTACTGTGGTGTATCTTTTTTGAGCCTGTTCATAGAAATACGTATTTTTAACCCCTGAGAATCATATTTAAACGGTACTACATATATATATATATATATATATATATATATATATATGGTAATGTAATACTACATTGTATTTTAACATTTTGTTAAAACATTTGTACTAACAAAAGCTATTTTGTTACTGACAAAATGTAACATCTCTTTATGTAAGACTGATAGTTAGTGATAGTTACATATTTTTGAAAAAGATTAGGAAAGGCTGAAGTGTTTGAGTGGTGCAGACACCCATGACAGTAGGAGCAAGGCTATTGGCTGTTTGGTTAAGCAGTCTGTAAACTCATGAAATTTTGCCTATGTAGACAAATGTGTACAGTGTGTAATGCAGAAAACATGTTTTAATACATCTATATTTAGATACTTTCAACTTGTCAAAATACTTAGTTGCAGTACTAAATGCCTAAATGTTGATCTATACTATTGAGAGAGAGAGAGAGAGGCCTCTCTCTCCTAAGTGGAGATCATTGAGCAGCACTTATTGATCACATCTGTCACTGGTAGTTTTTATTGTATTCACAAAAGGGAGTCCCTTACTTTTGAATGAAAAGCTTTCAGAGCCACGGAGCTCTATCTCAGTGTTATATCTGCTTGCCTCCTCATTTTCTATGTGCTTATTTTTCACATGAGTTTCATGAAAGGGGCAAGTCTTAAACAGCTGAATGATAAAAGCACATTCATAGGGGAGGTAGCTCTGCCCAAAGGGCAGGATTAAATGGCACATGCAGCACATCATTCTTGCAATACAAAGTTTTGCCTCTAGAGAAACAGGAATGGGAGAGCTTTCTTCATCTACTGTGTACTTGCTAGTCCAGCTTAACAGTGCTCTTATTTTATTTGAAATTATGTTTCCAGTTAATTTTAAAGCTAAATTTCTAGAGGCATATTAGGGGGACATATGTACTGTTTCAGGTAAAACTGTTCTTTGGCACAGAAGCTGACAGTGGCCAGTGATACTTAGCTATTTTGAGGACTGTCACCTGAACATTTGCCTTCAGTTCTTCTCCTGTGTTGTCTTTTTAGATAAAATCAAGAACACTCTGCAAATGTTAAGAAAACTTAAGACAGCCTCTAAGGGTTTTTTTTAATTTACTTTTTATATGTACTTCCTGTTCTTACATTTTATGGTTGATCTAAGCCTTTTATTTTGAAAATAACAAAACAATGCTGAAGGGAGAAACAGTTGGGTAGTTGCACTTTCCCTTTAAAAATAAAGTTGTATATGGATTTCAGTGGAGTCTGGAAAGAGTAGAAAGCCATTTTATTAGATTCAAATGACTTAATTTTTTAAAGGCCTATTTATTTTTTTTCTGGTTTGCAGTGGCTCTTGACTTCAGGTCTTTTTAAAATCCACTCTAAGGGTTTTTAAAACCCAGTGCCCAAGTGTGTCTTTACATAATTTCTTCCTTTACAAGAAGTTTTAAGTCACCAATTTGTTTGCCAGATGGTAACAAAGTCAGCTGGATGCTAAGTTCAGTCAGAGTTGGTATTTGCTTTAAAAATTACTAAGCTCTCCATTCTTTCTACTTCATATACTTAGGGCTCTGGATTTTTTAATTTAAGTAATTTATTAAAAAATGGCATTTTCATGGAAAATTGATTTTGAAAAATTGTTCCATACCCAGTAATACAGGTAATCACATTGAATAACTAGCGAATGCTATCACTTTACCTACAACTGGAAGCGGTTTTTTTTCACAGCAGTTTAGAGAGTGTCCAAAATGCTTTTGCTGTATCTGGCTGACAAGAGCACCATTCCCTTTCTTTTTTTTTTTTAACATAAATAGTTCACTTAGTCACCTAAATTCAAATTGCTTACCATTCTCCATTCCAAAGACGTTCAGGAATGAATACATGTAAAATTGAGTAGTCCACCTCTTATGTGAAGCAGTAAAGATTGTACCATAACCAGCATTGCAGCATTTTCTGCTCTGTGCCTTGTGGTGGGACGAGGTCACGGGTTGGAGTTTGTGTGCAACCCCTACATGCAGCTCTGGAGGGATCTGCACTACAGCTTTGTGCCCCTCTTGGCACCATTAGTGGTTAGTTTCAGAGCAGTCCTGCAGACTTAGAGCCGGTCTCCTGCCCGTCCCTTCTTATTTCCCTTTGGTTTGGCTCTCACGGCAGTCCTGTTACATACAAATTCAACTGGTTTCAGGAGAAAGTCTACCTTATCCAACCTCTAGCAGGGATGTAGGGTCCGAGCCAGTCACGTCTCCTCTAGACAAGGCCCATCATATGTGCTGCAAATGTTCGGCCCCGGGGACCAGACCGGGGACTGGGACTCTGATTTGGGCCGATGAGGGGACTCCAGCACCGGCTGCTCCCGAGTCCCTCCTGGTGTGACAAACTACTTGCTGCTCAGCTCTACAGCTGTAGATGGTGTTTCTTTCAGGGCTTACATGCTATTTTTATCCAGACTGAGATACCCTCGAGTTGGGGGATGGCAGGATTTTCGATAACTGATCCAGGAGCTGGACAGAAACAGGCTCCAAGAAGAGCCCTTCTGCAGGTCTCAGTAATGACAGACCGCCATTAACAGAACTTAGTAATGGACAGCACCCTGAAGTTAAACTCTTTAAAATAGATTGTCTTTAACATACCTATTATAGCAAAAGGATATAATTGCTACAAGCTGTAATTGTACAAATTGAAGGTAGCAGATGAGAGCTGAGCAATAGAAGAGTGCAGGTCATGGAAGAGGAGAGGTGCAGAAACAGATGACGATAAAAAAACAGGTGGCAGGTCAGACAGAAGGTATGGGGTGGAAGTTGTAGAAGCAGCAAAAATGTGGTTTATATTGATAGTAAGCAAGGGGAGACATTTACCCAGAGTAGTGAAGGAGGAAAAGAGGGGATGGTTTTCAGTTAGGTACTGCCATCGTTGCAGCAGCTGCTTTACTAGATGAGGAAACGGTATGAACAGACAAAAGGCTTTGGCTGACAAATCCTGAAATATGGGAGGAAAGAGGGGGTATGTTTCTTTAGGTTTCTGAAGTCATTCAAAGAGCAGTATCAGTGAGCCCTGCTGGCTTCCCAAAGGCTATGTGAATGAATCCTGGAGTTACCTTTTCTAAGGGAACCTCTGCCCATAATAAAAGCTTTAGTTTAATTTTACATTAAACTTCAGTTTTGAAGACTGAAAGGAAAGCAAAGGAAGACAATCAATCAAAAGTATTTTAAAGATATATTCTTTACAAGGATCCTCAATTTGAAAGGGAAGAAATCCTGGTAGAAATCCAAGGTGTCTGGTCTCCACGCCACCTTTCTCAAAAGTCTCTGGTCATCAACAAGATTTGAAACTTTGCAAACTCTTTGGCATACGGTTACTTTTTCTTTCCCTTTTGCAACATTTGTTCACTGTTGTTTGTCATCAAAGCCACAAAATTACCCCTTATCCTTCCTGCCTAATGAGCTACATGCAGTTTTCTTGCAAATGGATCAAGCTACAAGGCCCAGAAACTGATACGAGTCTTGTCTTCATTAATGCAAACAGTTGTGTTCATCTGGCAAGGCTTCCTCCCAGTTTTCCATGCCAGACATTTCCCTCAGAGACCCCTTACCAGCTGTAGCTGGAGGTTTATTTGTTTAAGTGAAAGACTGAGGGGACAATGTCCTAGAGACAACATTTTGTAGCAGTTGATTGCTTAAGAAGATCTGTAGGAAGCTGCCTGTACCCATCCCCTAATGATGATGGACAGATAAAAGAGGGTTCTGCTTTTAGTCATTAGCAACTCTTTCCCATTCTTGAATCTTTTCCCTTTTCTGTCTGGATCTGTATTAAGTTTTAAAAGCCAACTAAGTGTAAGAGAGTTACAGATTAAGATAGCATACAGTGACATTAGTAATCAATAACACATTGGGAACTGCTAGCAACATTTGCCACAGCAGCAAACAATGCTCTTCAGGTAGAGTTGTTCTAATTTAGTAAATGTAGCTGCTTATAAATTAGGGGAAGACTGACCTTGGAATCTTATGTTATAAGGAAGTAGCACAAGTATTACTTTCCCTCTTTTTCAATTCTCCTAAATTCAAACATGGCTGGCAGATGAAATTAAAGACTGCAAATGTTTGTACCTAACATTACACAGCTAAGCTGTGGGTTAATGAAACAAATAGCAGTTGGAAAGTTGGTGAGATAAACAGTTCTTCAGTGCATGATTTATGGAGAACTGCTCTGTGATGCAAATGTTTTCTATTGAAAGAAATTTACAATAAAAGCTGTTTACAACAGCACTGCTGCAACTTTGGCTGAGACAATATTGTTTCTTTGTAATATTCTGAGGTATTGGGTATGAGACGTGGAAACCCTCATCTCCCACGGTGACACTGCATACACCCAGGTGGATGGGGAATGTTTTCTTGCCAGCTTAAACTATTTTACCAGTTGCCCACAGTGTGTGGAAAGGCGCGGGTCAGGAACTTCCTCCTCCATTAGGGTAGTACCTGGCACACATTTGCTGCAGGGCAAGGGCATGGCAGTGGGGTGAGGCAGCTGCTGTGCACGGCTGCTCCCACGGCAGTCCCAGAGAGTGCTCACTCCATAATAGAGCCACCTCCACTGCCCTAAGGGACTCGGGTCACCTGAAAGTTCCCTGGGCCATTTTTTGGGTAAATGACACTTCTACTGGCGTTTAAAATATTTTGATGTTTTAATTAGGGAGAAACGATACAATATGGTGATCTTTCTACATCGAGTAAAGCTGGGTGTTTATCTGCTTTGCATTCACTTTCAGAAATTCCACCTTCTTCTTCACTTGCCTTATTGTTCTGCAGAAACTGCACAGTACACAAACGTTGTAGCGTTCTGGAGACCAGAGTGAATTGTCAGAGTCAAATCCAGGGAACAGAAATTTACAGCATGAGTAGTAAAGGTCCTGAGACACATGGCAGATTAATATAGAAATCTAAATTGTAAGGTATCTTGCCCTTATTTTAAGTTTCAGTTAGCCTCTTATGTTAACTGTAATATCATTTGTATGCGCTAATTTACTTGTAAATGTCACTCTAGAAGACATTTGAGAATAGGAATGTGAATCTGCTCTCAAAAACTGTGATGTCTCATTTTCTCTCTAAGGCTTTATTTGTGCTCTAATTCTGTTGCTACATCAGCTAGCAGTAGCTGTTGTTTTTTCCTGTAAACTTTTTTTTCTTTAAATTGTTTTCACATAATGAATCAAAGCTCTTTGATGAGCACAGATGAGTTTCAGACATGATTTTTAGGTTCTCTGTATATTAAGTTACTAATTTTTTTCCCCTACAAATGATGCTCCTAATCTGCTGTGCTCCCAATTGAGTGCCTTATTAAAATCTTCAAATCTTATAGCACCCATTAGTAAAAATGTGGAGTAAGAAAATTACCAATCAAAATTCCCTGTTTATTCAAGTGTAAATTGATACTTACAAAATATGCATTGGTTTATAGCCAGGATTCTGAAATTACAATATTGTCACTTAGGGACACACTGTAGTAATGAGCAGACAGTAAGCTAATGTACTTTTCAAGAAAGTTCTTTACTTTCCTCTTATTTCAAGATTTTTGGTCTACCAGCTGAAACATGAAGGTTAAAAGCTATCATCTCACTTGAATGCACAATAAAGAAAGGGAGTTCATTCTGTTGCAACCCCTCCGTTGTCTGTAGCATGTGTGTAGATTTCATCAATTTCAAAAGAAGCTTAATTAATTCAATTATTATTACTAAATATTATTATCTATTTAATTGCCAATCTGTATGTGTGTGTATAACAAATCCTTTCTTAGCTTATGAATTAGTGTAGTAATTTTGAATATTTTGTGTTGATTAACTCCTCATTTTTGTGTCATTAGCATGAGCATTTATCTCCTGGCTTTTTATATGCTTGTATATAGTTCGATGGGGAAACTTAATTTTGCCTTACTGGCACAGCAGTGGCACTTACTGATATAAACCAAAGCAGTTTGTTAAACAAAGCTCACTGCTTCTTTTTCTTCTTCCTTTGCAGAGCTGGAGCGGACCAGAGAAGTTACTTGCTTTAGATGAACTCATTGATAGTTGTGAACCAACACAAGTAAAACACATGATGCAAGTGATAGAGCCCCAGTTTCAAAGAGACTTCATTTCCTTGCTCCCAAAAGAGGTGAGAATTATGGGATGATATTGGATTGTGAAGTGCATTGGCTGCCATCTTTAGAAAACTTCTGTGCTAATTTTGCCAAGGTGGTGATGTAAACTCATGTTAGAGGTTCACAGTTTGGAACACTGCCATAGCATGGCTACTGTAATTTTAGGTTGATATATCTCTATCTCTTGATAGCATTTAGATACTTGGAAATACAGATGACCCCTTTAAACAAAATCCCAATAGCTCTAAAAATATCTATCTTAATTGGGCCAATTGTGCTTTTTTTTTGGGAACTAATTCTGTTAGGGCACATACACACAAAAAAGTTCTTCTGGATGTAAGACCTCTCTGCACATTATTCTGTGAGTGTAAGCACTACTTTTAATGCTGTAAGCGGTGAGTGTTTTGTTAATGTTATTTTTGATTTTACTTTAGACAAATGAAACCCTAAAATCTCTACGAAATAAACAAAAAGCAAACCCAGAAAAGCACTTCTTACTAAGGATTAAGCCAAACTGTAATTAAGCAGACATCTTACAGTAAATCCATCACTGAAAATCAGATCATGTTGTATCCAGTTAAAGAGAAACTGAGCTTTAGATTTCGGTGTGTGTAACTAAATGCCATCCACACAAGAGTAATTTGTGATGTCATCACAACTAGAACATGAGGGTGGATATGCAAGGTTATAAACCCAATTTGCTGCAGTTATTGAATAAATGTATTTTAGTTGACTTTTAAATAGTACTTCTCACCTTGATTGATTTTAGGGAGTTAAGTCTCAGTTCCTAACACTTTGCAAAGCAAATTCTTTTAAGTATTCTGGTGTTTGTATTTGGTTGCTATGTTTGACATGGTTTTATTACCTGGAGACTGTTTCATGTCTCTGTTCTTTGACACTCTTTTCTGGCATATATCCTATTTTTGAATACTTGCATGTACAAAACCCTTCTTTCTTTTACTACACTGTCATATCTTCACAAGTCTGGAAGTGTCACAGCCTTCCCTTGCTGGCTGGCATTTGCAAGGGTTGGAATCAATTTATGCAGCAAGTATTAACTTAGTACACAGGACATGAGGTTACTATTTAGAGGAGTAATTTCTGCAGCAGCTTTCTCAGGGAGTGGAGAGGACACTGGGAGAGGAGAAGAGTTCTGCAGCACCTTTGCATGTTTGCCATATTTCTAGAGATGCTGCCCAAAGCATCAGAGGCAGAGGAAGGCAACAAGACTTTATATTTTGAAGAGACAGAAGAGACTTTATATTTTGAAGAGACAGATAGATGCCACTTCTGCATCTATTCAGTCAGGAAATTTAACAGAGAATTGGTAACTCAAGAGATCAGTTCTCTTTGCATGATTTGGTGGCAATACTCATTGAAGTGCAGCCAGTGATCTAACTAAAGATCACATTACAATTTCAGTTTTCACAATTTCTCCACAGAAAAAATACAGTACTTAGCAGTAAAACTACCTCACCTAGGTTTCTTCACTCCTCTGTAAACTACTAATGTTTAATTTATTTATTTCTAGTAGGTTTCCTGCCTCTTGAAACCAGAATATTGTAATGTGTAGCTTCATGACAGGATGACTTCACCAGTGAAGTTGGCTTGGATAATTTTTTCTTCCTAACCCCGAGTCACTGTCACCAAAATTACCCGAGTTAGAAAAAGCCATTGAGCTGACTCCACCATCTCCTCTGCTGTTCCCTCACCCAGATCTCCTCAGCAGGGCTGTCCCCAGCTGCCGAGCGCTGGCTGCAGTGGGGGGTGATGCTCTGAGCTGTGGGGGCACGAGCGAGTTGTTGGGGTCAGTAATTCCATGAAGAGGCTTCCCAGCGAAGCCAGCATCCTGTGAAAGCACGCTCCCTTGGGCTGTCGCTCTGCATTAATGTCTGTGGTTATCTCCAGTGCTGTTGGATGCAATGCACTGATTTTATTACCAAACCAGAGTAGGAAGATGATGTGGACAGGAGTGCTTTGCTTCGAAACCATTGTCCGCAATGCAAAGACAGTAACTTAAAAGCCAAATAACCATGGAAATGTTTGTTTTCCTCCTGAGAAAATGGCAGTCAAACAGTTAATATGAAATAAATACTCTCGTTTTCTGGCTGAGACTTTCGAAATAATTATTCAAATTACTTATATATGAAAATCGGGTCGAGAAACCAATAGATAAGGAGTTTTGCTGAAATCAGCCATAGAAATGTTGGTTCTGTGTAAGTGAAGAAAAAGGCAAGGGATTGCTTACTGTTGGGTATTATTAACACTTCAACAGAGAGTAGTCCTAAATCCAGTTCAGTTGAAGGTCAGATCTTTGCTACCTGAAATTTTCTTATAACTAGATGCATGAGCTGAGACAAAGGGATGTCATCTTTTATCCACTGCTAATCCTAAAGTCAGCTGTGGGCTGTGTTGACCATTGATGACTGTTTAGATAAATGTAGTCTAAAATAAATGTTACCCATATTTAACCTGGTTTAGAACCAGTTGGCTCATAGGTTTAATTAACACCAGCTTAGCAAATGTCTGTGTCTGTATAGATAGGACAAGTAATATTTATACAAACTGCTGTCAACTGAGGAATATTCAGCAAAAAATGGAAAGGGTCTGTGTCATGTTTGAGTTTTGTCACATGCAGGTCTATGTGATGTGTGTTAGGAAACAACACTTCTTCAATAATTTCATGTACCAGGAGTGAAGACAGAAAGTCTAAAAGAACAAGTACAGCTCCTCCAGTAGAGAACTTTACACCAGATCCCAAATGCTGATTCCCTGAGTAAGGAGAGAAGGTGGTTCTTCAGATTTGTGGCCTGGGGTGCCTTCAGGATCTAACACAGCATTTAAGGCACGTCCTGAAATGTGCAATCCTGTGTGCTCCCCATGAGCTGCAAGTGATGACTTGCAAACAACATGTGTATGCAACCAAAATTCAAACAGTTGTGATGTGCTGAATTTTTATTTCCTGCTCAGTCACTGCCTTGTCTAGATTACCAAAACAAAATGTTTCTTACAAAATAAAAGTCAAAAATCTGCTGAGGTCAACAGCCTGCAGTTATGACTTCCTTAGTAAATGTCAGTCTTTGCTGTTTTAAAGGGCAGATTCTGTTTATAGCTGTCTATCTATCTGTCTATCTATCTATCTATCTATCTATCTATCTATCTATCTATCTATCTATCTATCTATCATCTCTCTAATCTCTCTAGTCTACCTATATCATAACTTCAGCTAAAAATTGAATTGCAAATCCTAAACAAAATACATGGCAAACAGAAGTAAAAGTGGGTGATCTGATTTCCTTGACAGCTTCTGCATCCTGTTAATTACTGACAAAGACCCCACTGTGTCAGCATATTAGTAGTTCTCTGCATTAATGTTAATATTGTTCTTTCTGCGGAGTTTTTAGGGACTCTGTGCATTTCCTGTGACTTTCTTGCATCTTACACTTATTTTCCATGACTAGGGAGTTGCATTGTTGCTGTCAAGTAGAAAAGCCACACTTGGTCATCACACCCTTAATGATAGCTGTCCTTGTGTTTTGGATTGTGATTTATATACCTCTGTTTAAGGCTTTGTGGAGATGTGGAGATTTTGGGGGCTTTATCATGGTCACTATATGGCTTAGGTCAGTCAAATTCAGACAAGGTCTGAATTTTTCCCAATAAACTTTAGTTTTGTCATGTGGAAAAGCCCATCTTCTATTTACTTTCTGGTGCTCATTAGGATTTGCCCTGTGGTTTTGGTAACAAGCTGTACTAAAGTTACATGTCTTGATGCTACTGCATCCCAATCCGTAAAGCTCCTTGTAACACCCAGGAGCGTGTTTGAATTCTCATCAGAAAATGAGCAATACTTACACTGCCTTTCCTTCAGCTGCAGAGTGGTTCTGAGCTCTGGAGAATGTAGCATTTGCTTGTTCTGTGTTTGGGCTTTCTGGGTGACGTTACTCATCACAGTGTACATCCCTATTTGCTCACATGGTGAGCGCTGTGCTTCTTAGTTCAACACTCAAAATAACTCTTGGTGCAATTGTTAGCTAAAATAACATAGACATAATTACTTTGGTAATAATTCTTCTAATAATTCAAAGTAATGTGGCTTACTTTTTTTAAAAAATGTAATAATTATTTCAGCTGACATCTATTTTCTTGCAAATGCGAGAATCGTTTTGTGATATGATCTGTAAGGATTTAGTTACTTATGATGATTGTTATATTTCCACATGCCCACAGGAATAAACTGGAGTCTGTTAAGTTTCAGAGATTGTTTAATAATTTATCGTTCCAATTTTCTGTATTTCAGCCCCTGATGTGTGATAGTAAATGGAGTTATTTCACTTTTCTCTTCTAAAGCAGTGCAGAAGATACACTTTCTTCTTATTTTTTACAGCTGGCACTGTATGTGCTGTCATTCCTGGAACCCAGGGACCTTCTGCAGGCAGCCCAGACATGTCGTTACTGGAGAATTCTGGCTGAAGATAATCTTCTCTGGAGAGAGAAATGCAAAGAGGAGGGTAAGGCTGAGCAAAAGGATGGATATAATGGTCGAAGTGTTGCCATCATAAAAAGTGCAGTTCATTTGCATAATAAGCTTAAAGTTTTACGAAGACAATTTGTGTGACTTTAGATTTAGTGCTAGTTATGCTTTGAGCTACACGGTATGTATCTCTGTTGAAAGCAGGAAATAGAAATAATCCATGGAATACTAGAGTTTAGGCTTGAATATCTTATTTATAAAGTATACCAGTTGCATGTTTTTAGGATACAGTTGGGTTTGCTTTTTGAGGATTACATTTATTCAAAATGCAACCTAAAGAAATAACAGCTGAGGTGTAAAAATGATAGAGTGTAGCCTGGCAGTAACATGGAGGAAAAACTGTTGCAGTGGTTGGTAGAAGGGCTGCTGTAATTTCACATCACTTGTAGGGTAATTAAGGCAGAGATGACACATGGTATTGGAAGAAGGTGCTAAAAGGTTTGCCTGGAGAGGGACACACAGTCCATTAGCCACATGGATATTGTCCTACTGATGCCAGTCCGAGAGGATACGGTGCTCCAGCACTGATACCAATGGGCAAAAAAAGGCTCCCATGAAAGTAGTCCTGTATTTGTGCACATGGAGAATGTAAACTTATATTTTTTAGGAGAATTATAGGAACAAGAAGTCTGTTTGGGCCAGGGGGGCGGGGTAGAAGAGCATATACATGTGATCTCAGAGCAGTCTCATCTTGGACACAGGACCTGTCCAGACTGCCTTGGAGTATGGAGACAAGGACTTATGAAGCGTTGATGCTTCAAAGGCTTCAAAAAACATAACAATGTCAATTGTAGCTGGCTATTTGTGAGGACACCTAAACTAATTTGTTTTCTTTTGTGATGGAAAGCAGGTGCCTGACCTCCAAAATCTTCTCTAAAGATTCTCCTCTTAAAAATTTCAGTGAAAATGTATTGAAAGGACAGAGTGAGAAAAAAGGAGGAGGTTGGGAGGTGAATGAGCTTACGTTAGTGAGCTTAAGCAAGAATAATAAATACATCCAGGCAGGAGAGCACAGTCAAGCAGGCCAGTATTGCAGCCTGCTTTAGCCTCAGTGAGCTGCTCAGTAACATGAAGGAGCCCCTAATTCAATATTGCAGGCAGAGATGGGGCTAAAGGAAGAAGAGTGAAATCCACACACTGGCAAGAGACAAGACTCCTGCCCGTAATGAAATGCAGTGGAGAGAGGAGCTGCATAGAAAAGAGTGCAGAGTGAGAGAATTGCAAAAAGAGCTGTATCTGTAGTAGCAAGGCTAAAACAAAGCACTACTGCTTAAGTGTCAAGTCAGAAAGGGCATAGCTATACTTAAATTCCAGCCAAGAGAGGACAATGCCAAAAGCACTCAGCCTTTCAGATCAAGAAAGTAATTAAAAGTTCACTAACAGCAGGAGTCACAATGAGCTTAAAGGTAATGAAGATAGGTGACCAGAGTGGAGAGCCACGGACAGAAAGGTTGACTTCTTGAACTGTTCCAGAATAAGCATATAAGTGGTTAAGGAGGTGTTTTGGACAATACCCGTTTGTAAAAGGCAATGTTCTGCTGCATTGCCTCAGAAAGGGAGACCCAAACCCAAGCTTGGAGGTTGCCAGCAAGGAATGATGAACTAGAGCATTTTCAGTTGTGATTATGGTAATGATTATGCTGAACTGACAAGGACAGACAGAGAATAAATCTCTGAGGAGCAGGGTGGTTTCACTGACACAGAAATGTTGGCATGCAGGAGGTTGTTACATTTCTGCCATATTTTAATGTCAGGGGTCACAGTAAAGGTTTGGGGGAGAAGGTGTTTCCTGTGGGGTGGCCTCATCTCTTCCCCTCCCCCCCTTTTTTAAAATTCCATTTTAGGGATTGATGAACCATTACATATCAAGAGGAGGAAAGTAATAAAACCAGGCTTTATACACAGTCCGTGGAAAAGCGCCTACATCAGACAGCACAGGATTGATACCAACTGGCGGCGGGGAGAACTGAAATCGCCCAAGGTGAGGTTCTGAGCTCTGTGCACGGGGCCGTGAACAAAGCAGGATCAGCTCGTGGCTCGGGTTCTTTCCTTTGGACAAACAAGACTATCCATGCACAAAAAGCAGTGAATTGCTACAGAAAGAAATACTTTGTGTTTTAGCTTACCCTGGCTTTAAATTATATTCCAACCACCATTTTGGCAGTGTGTTATGCTTCATACTGCAGAATCCTTTCACTAGTCTTCTAAGAATTTCTGTACAATTTTGTGAATTCTAATAAATAAACCAGTCTCTTTGAGACAGGTAATCATGAAAACTTGATTGGAAATTCTTATATTTAAACATACAGACACATATATTGTATATGTGTCAGTGTATATGTATGTATTGGTAGAGCTGGGTCATGTTGCAACATAAAAATACTCTGCAACTGTTCTGTGATCAATTCATGCTTTATTTTTAAATATATTCTTCTAAACTGAGCAGCACAAGACAAAACTTTATTCTGTGTTAAGATTTTAGTGGGGTTTTCTAAATGCTAAAATTATTTTAATGACACTGATATTTATCATTACATCCTTTCTGATATGAAGCAATATTTCAAACCTTTTGTAAATAAAATAGCAACTCTCTAATCAAACCTGATAATGAACAAGCAGTCAAAAATGTGAAGAAAACCCACATTCATGGCTTTTTAAGATTTTAAGGCCATTTACCTGTTTTTTTAATAAAAATAACAACATTAAATAGGAATAAAAGAATTCCCATGGAAAACCTATGGCTATATCCTGCTGTTTATTGGGCCGTGACTTATGTACATCTCTGGCAACAGTTCTGTGTTTCTTGCCTTGATATGCCACATCAAGTTATCTTGGAATTATTATTAAAATTACAGCCTCTGGCATTATCTAAATGCCATTTCATTTCAATGAACATCTTGAAAAATGTTTGGATATTTTAAATAAAAAATTCTTCTTCCTATGTATTCTACTAAGGATTTTTTTTTTTTCCATATTGCAATAAGATATACAGAATTACAGTTTTTCCAAAATCAAGCATTGAAAATCCCACCTCTATAAAGCAGCATTCCAGTCCACATTCCCAGCACATGAAATTGTTGCTTTTGTTTGTATTTAACTGAATTGATGGTTTTCTATTTTTTTTTCCTTTGGTGCTGCCTGGCATTTAACACAATACAATGCTTGGCTGGTAAGGGGAAAAAAATAGATGTGGTCAGCCTTGACCACTGAAATACAATACTCAGCAAATAATCAGCCCATCCTTTTTAGTCAAGATTGGAACAAAAGGTAACAGTAACTCAACTGAAAAATAAAGAGATGGAATAACTGCAGAGGAATAGAGCAGTGTTCGGTGACTAATTCAGCTTTTGTTAGTGATTTTTCCTGGTACTTTTAGGAGGCTTGCAGTAACTGTAGTGTTCCTGCTAAGCAATGCAGCATCACTCCATGGAAGGAGGGAAACACCTTCTTTGGTCCCAGCTGGCGGTAAATTAGACTTGACACACGGGATTAAGGAGCCTTATTATTACTGAAGCAACTCTAGCATTTTGTAATTTATGAATCAGAAGAGCACTTTGTTTCTCCTGCTTCTCTCTAATCTCCTGCATTAAATTGTGACCGTTGCCTTTGTGTTTTTTGGTTGCCAGGTGCTCAAGGGCCACGATGACCATGTGATCACATGCCTGCAGTTCTGTGGGAACCGCATCGTGAGCGGCTCCGACGACAACACGCTCAAAGTGTGGTCAGCAGTGACAGGCAAGGTAAGGTGGCTGCTCTGCTGGATTCCTTGGGAAATGAGCCACAGGTAGAGCAGTGGCACAGCAGAAATACTGCTGTGCCATCAGACCACACTGCAGGGTGGCCTTTGGTGTCTCTGGGGCAGGAATCGGAGGTTGTACTGGATAAACATGTGGGTTGCCTTTTCCCACACAGAAACTGCTCCAGTTCAAAAAAGTCACCTTGATGTGAAATTGCAATGCTGCTCATGTTACCACTGGCATATATCCCTGTTCTCTTGGCAATTCTGCTACTCTTGTGGAGTCGTTTGTGACATGGATTCTAAAGAATTTGGACAGAAACATTACTTTATCTTCCTTAAAGCTTAACTTAGGCTGCATTTACCCCTCTGGATCTCCTTTTCTCACTTGTCTTCTAGCATTCTTTCTATTGTTTTCAAGTTTTTGCAATGGTGTGTTCATTTTACTGGCTCAGATTTCAAATACAGAGTTTGTTTTTCTTTCCAAGCCACTATATCGCTGAGCCACAAGAAAAAAAAAAAAATTAACTTGCTTTAGGTTTAAATATTTCCTATTAAATTAGATCCAGCTCAGGCAGGAATTTAATAAGCTTCAATAATTTAATTCTGGCTTAGAGGAGCAAAACAATATGTGCAATCAAAAAGACAGTACTGAGCATTTCAGTCATGTTAGAACATCACAGCTGCTCAGCCCACAGGTTTTTTTTTTTGAGGTGACTGACCAACCAAGGATGTAGAAAAGGCCTTGGGGAAACAGTTCTTTTGCCTTTTAGACTGGTATTGTGTGCACTTAGCTTGATTTTAATGGTATAGATAACAACAGGACAGCTGCTGAGGATAACATGTTTAAGATGTAAAAGGTATCCACTTCATAATGTGGAAGCTGAATGTATTCAGCATTTGTCATTGCATGCCCAGAAGATCCTTGAAGGGATTGTTAATCCTACTGTGGGCAAGAATAAAATTAAGAGCCATAGGCAGCCTCACCCTGCTGCTGTTGGCTTCCCTACAACAAACTGTCTAATGAAGGATCCCATAATGAAATTTACATCTATTTTAATTGAAAAGGGCAACTTAAACACAAATGAAAATACTTTCTTTGTACATACCACGCTCCCAAAAGCAAAACATTCCCTTAAATATATCAAATTAAGCACAGTGGCATGACTCAACAATTGCTGTTCAGTAATTTTTTGAAAGTAATTACAAATCCTAGTGGCCATTTACCCCAAACCTTTAAGAGAGCCAGAAATCGTGTCTGAAAGATGGAAGCGTGCTGTATCAGCCCTCATGCTTACTGATGCTGAAGAATTAATAAAATAAAGAAACCCTAAAGGTTGGTTTGTGCAAATGAACATGACTAAATAATTCCCTTGACAGATGCAAAGCCCAAAATAAGGATTCTGTGTTCTTACTGCTTTAACAGGATGATTTCTTAAAATATGAACACATTGGATGAAATAAGAAAAAAAAGCAAACTGTAGAAATGAACATCAGCTATGAAGTGAAAAAGATGGATTTGATAGCAGTGAATTAAGCCAGATGCCAGTAATTGCAAAAGACCGGTTAAAAAATTGTTAAAGAACAGGAAATCTATGTAGAACAAAAAAGCAAACAATTTTCAAGGATGCTAGAAAGAACAGGATATTAACAACAAGAATTACTATACTGTCACTGATGCAGAAAAAAATACTTTGGAAGAAATTCATGTGATGGAAATACAGCATGCAGTGATAATAGAACATTTTAGCTGAAATTCATGCTAACTACCAAAGTTATGATTTTTTGTTATTAGAGTTGATCTAGATAATCTGTATTTGATTTTTCTTTTCCTCTGAAGTAACCTTTGGCTTAAAATTAGTGCATTTTTCAAAAGGTATGATCACAAGAAGAAGATCCAGGACAGGACAGTTAGAAAGCCAAAATGCATCAATGTTTAAATGGAACAAACTGAAAGACTGGGTATTTAGGATACAGTCTCAGATAAAAAATATTGGACTGCGTCAAGAGGAGTCAACTAACAGTTAAAGGAAGGCCATGGCAATTAATGCCACTTAGCATTAGATTACAGAAAAAGAGATCCTCAAACTGCCTTGACCTCTTTTCTCATGCAGTTACAGGTTTGACTGATAATAGTGCAGAAGTAGATGCCTGTGTGCACTGAAAGGCTCTATCCCCACGACAGAACTGAAGAAAATAGAATAATGCAAAAATCAACATGGCACGTATTTAAATGGGTTAGAAAATAGGTAATTATAGAGATCATGTTGTTAAAGTAAATGCAGAATCTTCATGGAGTATCTTTCTAGAGGAGTCTTGCAAGGATCTTTCCTTGTCTGTGCTAATTAGCATTTATTGCTGCCTGGTGGGAAAGCATATATAGTCATTACTTGTAGGGAAAACAGGCTGGGAGACGGAGACAAGCCATTGTTCCGGGCTGACAGGGGTTTTATAGAAGAAGGTGTGAGCAAACACTGTCTGTACATGGTGAGAAATCATGTCATCCATTTGGGATCAGAGAAGAGAGGCTGTGCTTATGTAGTGTGGGATTCTCTCCTGGGCAACAGTAAAGTCTGAAAAAGGTCTGAAACACGGTTCTGCAGGAGTGATGCTGTAGCTGTGCTTTACAGAGTGCAGTGTTTCTTGGATAAGCAAACAGAAAAACACAACAAATATATATGGTTTATAGATTGGTGGTAAAACTACCAAGTGTGTGCTCTCTCCACTTCTAATACACTTCAAAAAGCTATTGGAATCCTGCAGTGACTCAGAAAAATGCCAGGAAAATGACTCAAGGCTGCAAAACATGTCCTTGTATTGAGAAATTTGGAAAGACAGCTTAGTTTGTCAAGGGAAAGATTATAAGAAAAATTCCTTAAAGTAGCACCAATTGAAAGAGAAATTTGATGAGTATTTTTTAAAAAGGGGAATTCTTTTGTTCGATCAGAAAGAAGTCCCCAGGGGTCTTCTGGCTCTTGCTATGAGAGCCGACTCTTACCTCCAAGACTGCTTTTTCTTAAGGTTTCCATTCCCCGGTGTCAAAAGGTTAACTAAGGAAAATGTTTCTTTTCAGTGTTTGAGAACACTGGTTGGGCACACAGGCGGAGTGTGGTCATCACAGATGAGGGACAACATTATCATCAGTGGCTCTACAGACAGAACGTTGAAAGTCTGGAATGCTGAGACCGGGGAATGCATCCACACCTTGTACGGACACACCTCCACCGTGCGCTGCATGCATCTCCACGAGAAAAGGTGAGGCTTTGTGCAGAGCTACAGCCACAGCCTGGCCTGCCATTTCTACCCTTGGTGCTCACAGAAAGTGCTCCTGAAACTTGGGGACCTCATCCAGCACCGAGTGAAACACAAACCAGGCAAAACATAAACCAGCACCAAGTGTTGGAGGAGATGATTAATAGGAGCAGAAGCATAAGAGTACTAAATGAAGAACGGAAAATTGAGTCACGTACTTCAAAAAGTCCGCATTATTTCAAAGCTAATTCTTTGTTAGACATTGATCCAGTCTCCCACACTGAATAATTTCTTCTTTTGTCAATGCTACAAACTTTTACTCATTTTACCAAATAACCTTTTAAATGTTGTCACTGCAGTGTTTTATGTAAATTTTAACTGATTATAACATAATTTTTGCAAAATTGTAAACCATGTCTTGATTCAACAAACATTGGCAGAGCTCTGTTACTTGGCTGTGGTATGGAGCTGTTGACAGAGAGATTGTTGGTTGCATTTCTTCTCTTTTGAAGAATAATGAGGTTTTTCTCTATAAATTTCATTAATGTTCATTCCATCTCATTTCTGTTATTGCCTAAAAAACCTTATAGAAATATAAACTGAAAAAAATATCAAGCAGAATTACTGTTACTTTACTAAAAGTGAAATTTCTAAAGATCTTTGTTTATTTGTTATAATTAGTCAACTCAGTTATTAAAACAGAATGCCCGTAGCACTGGCTGGAGCTCACCATGTTCATAAGCTTTCATGGGTAGATACAACAGTCCACAGAATTTCTCATGGAATGGTTTTGCTGTTCAGGAATGAAGTGCTTTTTTAAATACTGTTTGCTAATTACATCAAATAGACAGATGCTGAGGAGGTGAGTAGAGCGAGGGAGAACACTGCAGTCATTTGAGACCCCATGAAAATGTCACACCAAGCCAGAACTTTGCTGGCTGGTGCACCAGCTCTATTTAATGTCCCAAATTAAAACTCAGAGCCCATTTGTAGCCAAGTTTGACTACTGCAGTACTTTCAGGTCCCATGCTAAGTACAGGAGGGGTTTTCTCGTTGCTGCAGGGTGGTCAGTGGGTCTCGAGACGCTACGCTGCGAGTCTGGGACATAGAGACGGGCCAGTGTTTACACGTTCTGATGGGCCACGTCGCCGCAGTTCGGTGCGTTCAATATGATGGCAGAAGGGTTGTAAGTGGTGCATATGATTTTATGGTCAAAGTGTGGGATCCAGAGACAGAGACTTGTCTGCACACACTGCAAGGGCATACTAACAGAGTCTACTCGTTACAGGTATGTGATTTTTTATCTGCTGCTTTAGTTTCCTTAAGTAACATTTAAAGTCAGTTTATTTCATCTTGTGTATTAAGTTGTGGGTACCTAGTACAGAATTATACAGACCACAAGAATACAGAGGCATCTGTGATAAACCCCTCTTTCATTTTGTTACACTAGTCATATGTTGTCTTAATTTAGAAACTGAAACGTTTTTTAGAGTAGCATTTTTTTTAAAGGACTCAGTACAATAAAGCCCAAATCTCTATACCAGTAAGTTGTTTTGTGGATTGACGGGTTGTTTGGTTGAGATATTTTTTTTGCAAATCTTGCATGTGTTTTGGAGCTATGTTTTTTTTTGCTTTCCTCAAGGAATTCCAAACGTACTGTTTTAAATAAATCAGAGGATAGAGCAATTGATGATGTGCCAAAAACCCTATTGGATTAATGTTCTGATTTATGGAGATCTGTTTATCCTCATTTTCTAGTCCCATCTTCCAATTCTAAACTATAATTCACAGTAAGGCTGAACCTAAAATTTTAATGATCCTATGTAAATCTCTAGCCTTCTACTTCCTCTTCTCTGAGTACAGGCCAGATATACAAGTGTGAGGCTTTTTTACCAGCAACATGTTAATGTAGGTGCAGGTTATCATGGTGCTGCTTTGTGGCATCTCTCTTTTGCCCACCAGTTACCCACAGAGCTGGCAAAGATACACACAGACCTCATGTCTTGGGTCTTCTTACCTTTACTAACCCAAAACATCATCTTGTTCATTCATAGAGTCAAAGCATAACTTCCAGGCATTGAAAGGCAAAAGAAATTAATTTCATGCTTGTGCCTGTTCACACCACAATCTGGCAGGACTTGAAAAAGAAATCAACAAAGACAGTTCAAAACTGGGAAATGGCTTTCAGCATGTAACTGCTCTGGTTTGTGACTCAGAAAGTGAAGCTCAGTGGTAGAGACATTTTTCATAAAGTATTTCATATCTCCCTATAATACATTAAATATGAACAAAGTTCCTAATTGGTTTCCTTTCCCAAAAATATGTAGCAAAATTTATCAAAAACTCCAGCCCTTCTCTTACATTCATATGCTGAGGAGTGTTCTCTAGATAAGCAGCAAGCAAGTTAAAAATGCTGTACTACCTACCTACCTCAAAAATGTTCTGAGAATTTATTTCATGTGGGGCAGTTTGGGAACAGATGTTATTCTACCTTATCTTCACCACTGGCTCCTGTTTTGGCTTACGAATATTTATGTCTTGCTCTGATACTGCAGTAATAATGGATCAAATAACTGGGTTGTGTTACACAATTGATATGTTCTGAAACAATTGGAAAAGGGGTTGGGCATGGCAAGTTGGAGGCTACAGGTGCTTACGGGTTTGGAACGGAAAGATTCTTTAAAATTGCCTGGTGGCTCCTGCCCTTCAACCTGAAGTAGCCCCAAACAGCAGAACTCCCATAAATACAATAATCAGATGGAATAAGCCAGTCCTCCATGGCAGGTTCCCCATATTTCCCCATGTGTAGACCTAGTATTTTCCAGAGATCCTTATGCAGAAGTTGAAGACCTCTAACTGTGCTGAGTTTTCTTACACTTTCTTACCTGCCTTTGCAATAACCCACAGATTCTCAAGGTTCATGGATAACTCACTGGTTCAGTGAGTTTGTTTGTTTTACTGCAGCACCATCAATTTCTCTTGATGCCCAGCCTTAAACCTTTCTTTCTGAATACCTTATGAACAGGGAATACAGTTAGTTTGTGGGAAAGGGGGAAAATAATTCAAGATTTGTTGCATCAATCAGGTTTAGTTCTTTTTAGGATAGAAAAATATTCTCTAATATTCCTGATTCTGTTTGGCTACTTGGCACTCCTTGTCTTTTTATCTGAAGTCAGATTATTTCCCATCCTCTTTTGAAAGCAGGGGACCCAAAACAGGGTCCAATCAAAGTCTTATCAATGCTTGCTAGAAGTGAAAAGCTATTTTTTTTTTTTGCCTTCCATTCAGATACCAGAGGGTCTTTTTTAGTGTATTTTCACCAGGAGTGCAGTGCAGATAAGCAGTCCGTGTGCCAGTCACTCTCCATTCTTTTGAATCTAGGTGCCATGCCCAACCATGTCTGACTGCAGAGATCTAAGATACTCATTTTCCACAGGTCTTATAAGAAGCAGCAGCCCCAGATAGTCAAGTTTCCTTAACTGGGTTTGTTCCTTGCCTTATCAGGTACCAGTCAGTCCACATGGACAAGCAGTGTGTCAGATTGCCTTAAATATAACCAAGATTCCTGTCCAGCCTTCCTTCTCCCAGGCTGCAGCTGTACCTTCATTCATTCCCTGCCAAGTTCAGATCTTCACACTTTTCACTTCTACACTCTTTGCCTTTGGTCAGTTCTACTGTTTCAAATGTCACTCAAATCCTAATGAAAATAGTAAATGCCGGACCTCTCTGCAGCTCCTTCTGGTATCTCAAATAGTACTCTGAACAAAGTAGTAGCATCCCTGCCTCAAATTTGTCTCCCTCTTTGAAAAAATACAACCAAGACATTCGCTTTTTCCCACAAATCCATGTTTGCTGCTACTTATCACAGTATTAAGGGCTTTAAAGTTCCTTGTGGATATTGAATTTAGGCTAATTGATCCATAATTCCCCTATCCCATCATCTCCTTCAATCAGGGAGGAATTGTATTTGCCATCTGAAACTTCTCTGTCTTCCATAGGTTCTCAAAGATAGCAGCAGATGTCCCTGAGACTGTGTTAAAACAACTTGCCTTATGTGATTTTGTTCCCCCATTCTAGCAAAAGCTTGTACTCATTTGTCATTGGCATTAGTGATGTGAGCCTACGCTCACATGGCTGAGGACTGAGACAAAAAGAAGTTAAATAGCTGGCCTCAATCAGTGTTTCCTTCCCACTGAGGATAAATTAGTGGCTTTTGGCCTTCCTCTTGGTGTGGTTTTTTTTGTGTTTGTTTTGTTATGTTTTTGGTTGGAACTTTTTTACACAATAGTGAAATGGCTTTTGCTAGTTTTATCTTGTGTTGCCCTGCCTTTCTGGTTTTGTCCCAGTGTGCTCTTTTATACACATCTATTGATCTAGTTTCTACTTTTTGTACAATTCCTTGTGGTTCAGCCAAGTGGGTCCCAGTAATTTACAATACTTCCTGTCTTTCTTTCACACAGGATAGTTTGTGTCTTTTAGAAAGTGTCAACTATCCTGAACTCTTCTTCCCCTCAGAGAATAGATCCATAAAATCCTCATGGGAAGGAAGTCTTGGGTTTTTTAAGTATTCCTTCTTGAAGCCCACATGTTTTATTCTACTGCTTTTTCCCTTCTTTGAAAATTCTGGACTCTTATGTCATTGTCACTATAGCTCAAGTTATCTTCCACCTTTCTGTTCTCTACATAGTCAGTCCTCTTGGTCAAAAAATCTCATATCTTAGCCTGTATGCTTTTCCTACTATGACTGGAAAATTACACTTCCTTAGTGTACACAATTAGGTACTGTACAAAATAGCTAAATTCCACATTTAGATTACATTTCCTTCTATTTTCTTATGTTGTGACTTTTGTGTAGATGATTCTGGAAAAATGTTGTTGCCTTTCTCCTGCTTAAAGTCCCTCTGACTTGTAAAAAAGCAAGATTGGCTTTTTAACATCTCATGTAGGAAAAATACTTTCTCTTACTGTTGCACACTGCAGGGTAGTCAGAATCTGCTGTGTTTAAAGGAGATGTTTTCAGTGGCTCAGAGCCTCTTTTCAAACCATGTCCCTCAAGAGCCCACAGGCCTTCAACAGAAAATTGCACTGACCATGAAGCACCTGCTGTGGTATCAAACGTGGCCATCTCTACTGAGTTCCTACTTTGTACTGCAGTTTCTGAATATATATAGTATCTAATCTTGCATTTAGTGAATTAAATGCTTAATAGCCTTCTCTGTCAGGTCCTGATATAATTGTTTGTAATAGATTTACCTTTCTTGTAGTTTGATGGTATCCATGTGGTGAGTGGATCTCTTGACACTTCCATCCGAGTTTGGGATGTGGAGACAGGCAACTGCATTCACACTCTAACGGGCCACCAGTCACTCACAAGTGGAATGGAACTCAAGGACAATATACTTGTGTCTGGGAATGCTGATTCTACAGTCAAAATCTGGGACATTAAAACAGGACAATGTTTACAGACATTGCAAGGTAAGTTTAAACTACCTTCATGTACATAAAGCAGCCTACAGTGATCCGTGTTGCAGATTTTACACAAAAAAAACCCTTTAAAATAATTATGTCCAAAGAAACAAGCACTGACCACTTAAAACTCAAATCTTTTTCTGATGACAGCTGTATGATCTTTTTCTGAAGTAGAAGAACAAAATGTATTTAATCTAATCTATTCAAATCACTTGCCTATTATGAAAGGCAGATGGTCTGGACTGATAGTAATTTGCTATGGGTATATTAGCCTAATAAGCCACACAAATATGTAGGAAATTGCATCTCAAAATAGACAGTCAATGTATTTATTTAGGGGTCACTTGAATGTTTCAAAGCCTACAGTTTAATTGGATCAGGAGGCAAAGTACACTGTCTGTTGCAATAAATCAAGAGATGGGAGTGGAAGATATTTTCTTTATTTCAGTAAGAAGGAAGATTTATTTTTTTTTTTCCTCCATGTTGACAGTTGCCACTCAGGCATCATGCACACAAACACATGGTTGTGTTTCTCCACACAAAAAAGGTCTTGCATCATTCTCATATATCATATGCAGCAGTGCTGGCTAGAGCAGAAAATTAAATTTCCCTGTAGAGCAAACTCTGCTGCTTTAACATATATATTTATATGTCAGCATATAACTGTCAGTATTTCCTGATGGAGCAATCTTGTATAAGAACACTTCAAAGGGACTTGGAGACAAACTCTCACAGTGGTCACCTCACTGTGGATGGTTAAGTTCATTTTCAGGGATGTCCAAGTGCACGTTTGCCCAGCTGCTGACATACAGCACAACGAGATCACTGAAACAAAGTAGAAAGTACTGGGGAATTTTTTTATACCTGCCTTCACTTTTTGAAAGCATGGCAAGGCTTCTCCACCTTTTAATGTACAAACCCAGGAGTTATAACAGATAGTTCTCTAGTAGTTCTAATAGATGGAAAGAGCTGTATGCAAATAGCAAGGTGTTTATTCTAGATGCAGCACTGCCTGACATTGCTTTCTAATTAATTACAAATAGAAATGTTTTTGTTTACTCTTACAGGTCCCAACAAGCATCAGAGTGCTGTGACCTGTTTACAGTTCAACAAGAACTTTGTAATTACCAGCTCAGATGATGGGACTGTAAAACTTTGGGACTTGAAAACGGGTGAATTTATCCGAAATCTAGTCACATTGGAGAGCGGGGGAAGTGGAGGCGTCGTGTGGCGAATCAGAGCTTCTAACACAAAGCTGGTGTGTGCAGTTGGGAGCCGCAACGGGACTGAGGAAACAAAGCTGCTGGTGTTGGACTTTGACGTCGATATGAAGTGAAGGGCAGAAAGATGAATTTGTCCAAACGTGTAGACGATGTTCTCCTTTCCCTCCCCCCTGAAAAAAAAAAAAAAAGAAAAAAGAAAAAAAAGAAAAAGGAAAAAAATCCCTTGTCCTTGGTGGTGCAGGATGTTGCCTTGGGGCAACAGATCCTAAAGACCTACAGACTACGAAGGAGAAGACAAAGATGACAAACTATAACTGACAAGAGAGGCTTTTGCTGTCTCGTCACATAAAAAGGCTACACTTTTGACCGGGGCAGCTTTGCAAAAATCCAATTTTGAAATGAAACCAGGTGCAATTAATTTCTTTACTTTTCTCCAAATGCTCCTTGAACAATTTGGAGTGGGGAAAAAAAAAAAAAACCAACAAAAAAAAGTTACACTTCTTGTTAGCAAGTTATTTTACCACAAAGATCTTGAAATAAGCTGCACAGGCGAGCCTGCTCGTGCACCCCTGGGTCACCCTGGGTCCCGGCAGCCCCTCCGAGCAACGCGCTGTCCCTTAGCCCCGCTCCGAGCAGGGGGTTGGACCGGACTCCCTCCAAGGTCCCTTCCAACCTCCACGAGCAGTCACTGGTTGACTTTCAAAAACTAGAGAGCATCTGCAATGAGAAAAACAAACAAAAACAAAAACAAAGAGTCCATTCCTGGTGTGGAAAAGCTAAAATATTACTGTGAATTGTTTTGTACAGTTTTATCAGAGCTTTTTCTTTTTTTTCTTTATTCCTCTTTTTTTTTTTATTTTATTTTTTTTTTGCCAACCATTGCCAATGTCAATCACAGTATTAGCCTCTGTTTAATCTATTTACTGTTGCTTCCATCTACACTCTTCAACGCATAAGTTGCTCTGAGGTGGCAAGTTGTCCTGGGTTTTGAGAGTCCTCTGATGGATTTAATTCGCAATGCTGGTGCTAGAAGTAGGTCTTCAATTACGGGATTGTTGTCCCACCCCTGTACTGTATTCCCAGTGGCCAAACTTATTTATGCTGCTAAATGAAAGAAAGAAAAGCAAATTATTTTTTTTTATTTTTTTTTTCTGCTGTGACGTTTTAGTCCCAGACTGAATTCCAAATTTGCTCTAGTTTGGTTACAGAAAAAGACTTTTTGCCACTGAAACTTGAGCCAACTGTGCCTCTAAGAGGCTGAGAGTGGAAGAGTTTCAGACAATTAAGAGTGAAGTTTGCCTGCAAATAAAGAATTGAGTGTGTGTGCAAAGCTTATTTTCTTTTTTCTGGGCAAAAATTAAAACACATTCCTTGGAACAAAGCTATTGCAGCCTGTTCTGTGGGGAAATTTTTCTTTGTGAGGGCTGTGGTGAATGGAATGAACATACATTAAAAAAAAAAACTGACAAAATTTTTAAAAAATATTATAAAATACAAAAATTAAAATAAAGTTGCTGGTCAGTCTTAGTGTTTTACAGTATTTGAGAAAAAAACAACTGTTACAGTTATTGCTGGGAGGAACTGACAGAGCAAAAACTTACGTTTTTGTAAAGATGTCACATGCAAACAAAATGAGAAAAGAAAGAGTCAAATGGTTTGCCTCATTCTCCAAGAGCCACAACTCAAGCTGAACTGTGAAAGTGGTTTAACACTGTATCCTAGGCGATCTTTTTTCCTCCTTTTTTTGTTTTTGTTTTTGTTTTATTTATAGTCTGATTTAAAACAATCAGATTCCAGTTGGTTAATTTTAGTTATGTAACAACCTGACATGATGGAGGAAAACAACCTTTAAAGGGATTGTGTCTATGGTTTGATTCACCTAGAAATTTTATTTTCTTATAACTTAAGTGCAATAAAATGTGTTTTTTCATGTTAGTATGTCTTTTTTTTATTTTTTATTTTCTAGTTGTTAATATTATGTATCCTGTGAGGGGTAAAGCAGGTCAAGTTGCTCATCTTACTGGTAGATGCTAAAATATGTCTTGGGACTTTTTATATAACCCTTCCACAAACAGGTGTGTGTGAGTGTCCTCTCCTTCAGTTGCCATGTAGGATTTGTCACGTGGGTCTTGACAAACATGAGGGAAAGACATTCGCTCCTTCTCACGAAGAACGTGTCAGGACCTTGCTCTGGGGGGAGGCAGCTATAAAAAGCTGCTAAAGTACGTAAAACTTCTTCCGATAGCATCTCGTTACTGCATCTTAAATTGAAACCTGATGTTTATTATTTATGGATTTCAATCAGTTGATTGCAGTTGACAGCAAAGAATAAATTCATAAATACAACTAAAATCAAAGTTGGGATTGTAGGAGAGCCTGAAATAAATCTTCAGAATAGTAAAATAACATCATTCCACGTCAGTCCAACAGCAGTTTTATCAGAGCCCTGAAGCCAAGGTAAGTCATCTTCTGTCTTAGAAACTTTGCTGTTGAGTGCCAGGTTCTGTTTCAAATCTCCTTGACCAAAATCATTGTTTTCTTCTGTGTAAGCTTTTGTTTCAGGGCATAGCATTTGCTTGTTTGTGACAGTTTTCCCCTGTAGAAAGCTGTCATTAAAAAAAAACAAAACAGTAGAAGAGAAAATGCATGGATGGAAAGGAAAAATGTTTATATACTTACACATCTCTGACTATGTGCAAACAAAATTTAATTCCAATCCCTACATTATGCAAAACATGCAATGGTGAAGGATCATGCTCCATCTGGCCTCTAGAGATTAAAAAGCCATCCGAACTGACTGAGCAGCTCCAAATTGTAAAAATCTGTTCCTTGGGTTGGTGCTTAAGGAAAAAAAGCTCGCAGCAAGCACTGACAGTATTGTCAGTGATTGTCTCTTATTTATGCAAAAACAATTAAAGAGTTAATCCTTTCCTAAAATGGCAGTGAGAGACCAGGACGTTGCATGGTTCTGCTGGAGTGCAGGCCAGGACACTGAGCCCCCCGATGGCAGAAGGTGCGCCAGCGTGGGCTGAAGTACTTGTGAGAGGGGATGGAAATAGAAGGGTAGAAATATGAATATTTAATGCAGTGAGCAGAGCAATAGCTTTCAAGATTATGTAATTTTCTTCCATGATTTGTAGAAATTGCAACAAAATGTTTTCAAAGAGCAAAGGCGTTGGCCTGATGGCGCAGGAGGATGAGAGGTTTCTGAGTAACATTGTGCTGGAGGGCAGGAATACAAATCTGGGTGGAAAAGTGAACTGACAGAAGAGGGAAACTAACAAATCAAGGTGTACAGTCAGTTCAAGTACATTTTAAGCAGCCAATATGACCAGGAGAAAAATGTGCTTAACCAGAATTGAGAAGTTTTCGTCTTGACAGTGTAGTTCCAGCAGTATCTAAATGTTCAAACTAATAGAGAATAACTTGAACTTGTTAAGCAAACCATATTTTCAGATTCCTTCATTGCAGATTTAGGTTCAAACAAACTATTGGCCTCAAAGTCAAGATATGATTGTCACAGTAAATACAAAAAAAAACCACAGTACCTTAAATTTTTTTTAGAAAAGCTTTTCCCAGTCAATAAAACAACTTTACAAAGTTCATTGTGTTAGCCCTTTAAAGAGTTCTAATTTTGTCAGGTGTGTTTAGGTTTGTAGGAGTTGCTTATGAGCTATCTGAACAACACAGCTCAATAAGCAGAAATTTTGTGATTTAAGTGACAGAATTTCAAAGATGGGCCTGTAGTAAACACATTACATGTAAGAAACGGAGCAGTTTCTCTTTACACCCCCCTTTTGTTGATGTACTCATCATAATATAACTCAAAATATGAGCTCTTCTTCTTCTTTGGCAGTACATGCTCCAAGTGAGACTGCTTAGGAAACATCTTCATTCACGTAATTAGATTTTGATTTTAAGGTGGGTGGAATGTTTGGGGTTTTTTTAAAATAAAAACATTTAAGAATACTTGAATAAGACTAACATCTTTATGCTCTCAATACACAGGCGCATCTTGAATCCAGTGGCTTAGTCATCATGGGCTATGTCAAAATACTGCAGCTATCCTGGAGATAACTGCAGTGGTGTTTCTGGCATTTCTACTCTCTTCTTTTCATGCTGATTACCCTTCTTTTAGCTTTAGCCCTAGAAAGAGCTTCATTATTTTCTCCTGTATGTGAAACCAAGTCGACAACATTAAGATATTTTTTTTTTAATGTAATATTTTTAATGGACCTTGATTTTATCCAACAGTAAGTTAGAATTAGTATTGTCTCTTCCTCCAAGAGCCTGTTCCTGTGGTCTCAATTTACTTATTCAAGAGATAGGACCAGACATTTAACAGCTGTGCCTACACCAATTTGCAGTTCAGATCAGCAGCTTTCCCAATAGAACACAGTGCTGCCTTGGAGACCACTAACAGGATTCCTTCAGGGTGTAACTAAATCTGGAGCAGCTCTCCAGAAGAACACTCCAGGCACTCAAGCCACTGGAGGAGCATGTGGGACCAAACCAGAAATAGTCCAACACCTCAAAAATATATTCATATGGACATTAGGTCCTCTGGACCAGCTTTTTGTAATTAGCATCACTGCATCCTGCTGCACTGCACTAATTGCTGGCGTGGACATAACCATCAACAGATCCTCTCCCACAGCACCCCTGGCTCCTCACTTGTAATCAGAACCAGCTCCCATCCAGAATCCACCTGATAGCACTTAAAATACTTTTCCAAAGCAAAAACCTCAGATGGCTTCAACTCTTCCAGCATTCCTATGGAGAGGTTCTTAGGATCAGATTATGGAATCCGGTAAAAAGAAACACAAATCTCTTACAATCAGTCTGGTTAAAATCTTCTACGAGTAAATCAACACCTGATCATTCAGAAAAAGAAACAGTGAAGTTGTGCCATTGTACAGAGGAGAGAAATAATTATAATAGTAATAATAATAAAGAAAAACTTGCCAGTAATGAATGGTCACTCTGACAAACTATTACTTAAAGGGTAATATCCAAGCCTTTGAACCACTGAATCTTGATCCCTGTCACTGTGCAGGTACACCTGCTGTGGAATGGTGATTAGCATTTTATGATGATACATGATGTTTATCATTATACATGAAGTATATGGACTATTTGATAAACACCAGGATTTCCAAACTTCATCTAAAAATGGCGTATACAATTTTTCAAACACCTCTTCAAGCATTAGTGCAAGTTTATAAATACAACAGACGTTTTTACATAAAAGCTGTTCCAGGTTCTTTCTGAGACAGAGTCTGACAAACCAGTTATCACCAAATGTCAGCAGCCAGTCCAGGCTCTTGCTCCCTGTTCAAGTTGCCCACTGGCCCAGCAGCTGCAGTTGCCTAAGAACCAATGGCTTTATGCCCATGTACACTGCATTGCTCTAGCCCATCTGGGACAGGAGAGTCCTATAAAATCATAACTGAGCTAGGACAGAATCTCCCCAAGAACTAGAGATGGCAGAAATCATTAATCAGAGCGGTTGCCAGTTCAGCAGTGGTTCTAAATTACAGACTGAGTCTTGGCCAAAGACATTCATTCCTCAGCTCTCCTTTGTCCTCACCTCTGCCTCACTTAGATACAGCCTCAACTCCCTGATCTCTGCTGACAAGCTGATTTTGTCCAAACTTAGGTAGTAGCAATACTTTTGGTGAAAGTTAAGCTGAGCTTCTTGTCCTCTGTGCTGCTGGAATCTACCCTGTACATTTTGCCACTTAATGCACAGGAACAGCACAACCTCGAGTCTAACACTGAATGCTCCAAGGTGCAGTGCATGGAGATGAGAAGACATCGTTCATCCCAGAGTGAGAGGTTCACCATCAGTGTCGCTAAAATGATCCCCAGCTAGGGATCATTTGAGTCTAGGCTGAAAAAACTGTTCTAAACCTGGTACAATTAGGAAAATTTCAAGTTGAGATCAACTGCTTAGTTTTCCAGGCATGCCTGAAAAATAGGCACATCCTAAGAAGCTTCACAGTTGAAGCAGGATCGTAAGTGTTGCCTCCTGGAAGTTGGGAGAGGTCATGGTCGAAGGACAGTGAGAAAACATGGAAGGTCTATCCAAGCTGGATCAGAAGTGACCTATGGAATTCAGAGAAAGGCAGATCACAACACCTTGGGGCTTTTGAGGGGCAGGGTGGAGTGGGGAGGCTTTCCAAGAGATCATAATTTTACATCATACAACAGCTACTGTGGGCTATTTCATCGTTGTCACCAACAAAGCACAGGAATAAGATTTTTAATGAAGCCGTTAGTTGGGCTGCCCTGTAATTGAGGATATGACCAACCCTGTTTGCTCTGCCTCACCTGAACTGCTCTTACCTGGGGCAGATTGTTTGATGGGAAGATGAATGGAATGCCCCCAGACCTCCTCCTTTGTGTCTGGTTCCTCATGTCTGAGATGCAGGTTTCGCAGGCTGCTTGCAGTGCGTTATTTGAGAGTGCTTTGTTCTTTTAATTTAAAACAGGAAACGTGGAATGCAGAAGATCCAAAAACTTCAAAGGCAGTTTCCATTGCCAAAGGAGTTGCATTTAAACTCAAGTTCATTCTCTAGATTGAATATTCAAATCTGACAGTGCGAGAACATACTCACACCTTCAGGAGGATTGATGATTTCTAAGGGACAGAAGGATTCAGATTATGCCTGTAAATATCACTGGTAAACTGAGCAGTACTGCTCTTAAACTGGAATTTCATTTTGAGCTCCTTAGTTTGAAATGAAATTTCTAGCAGTACCACAGCTTTACAGATATACAAAGATTATAAAACTTATTTCCTTTACCCTGATATACAGAAAATTTGACGGCTACGTTCCCCTCTCTTTTCAAACTGCCATTTTAAGTTTCCTGATACATGTCAGAGCTGATTTTAAATGTTCACATTATAGTTTGGAGTAAGGAAGAACTCA